GAGAGAGAGAGAGAGAGAGAGAGAGGGGAAATCGATTCCTGCGGCAGCGCAGCCTCGCCTCGCTACATGTAGCCATGAGACGCACAGCCATCCGCTGGCCACCTGGTGACAACATTGAATCCGCTTGCAGACGACACTTGGCGCGCTCTGCACACCGCAAAACAACCCTGCACCCAACGCAGGAGTTCTCCTCCACACCAGCCCCCGCCCATGAAACAATCCTTCCATTTCGCAACACTATCGCAGCACCATGGTCCCAGTCGAGACGCATTGGTCGTTTCATGTCACGTCTCTCCAGGTATCAGGAGGCCCAGTAAGACGCGTGGTAGGTGACCAGCTTGGTGGCCAGCCAGCACGTGCGGCCCAGGTGGCGCGCAGCATAGCACAGGCCTGCACGCGGGAGGCGCGCGGGCAAGACAGGGGGCGCCTGTTTGGACGTGTTAATTGCATGGTGGCTGCATTAGTGACTCGCTGCAATGTGCGCCTGCCTTTGCGGCAAGGGAAATTGTCTTCTTGCATCAGTTGGCATTGAGTAGGAATCAACAATTCGAGGCAGGATGCGCAGCGGGCAGCGACCAATCAGGGTTGGGGATTGCACAACTTCTTGGTTGCAGAACGGCGCACCGCAAGATCTTTTGTCCTCTAGAGGGGACACACACACAATGTGGCACACACACAATGTGGCGCACACACACACACACACACACACACACACACACACACACACACACACACACACACACACACACACACTCACACACACACACGCAGGCGCGCGCCCACGCACACCCACCCTCCGTTTCGACCCCGTCGTAACCATCGCCTTCCCAGGACGCCCCGATGAGGTAGTACGGCGCGAACAGGGCGCCCTCTCGGTGCACATCAGCGCGCACGAGGGTGGTGCAGCCGCCAACAGAGTCCAGTGGGACAAAGGGCTCAGGGCTGCCCTCCAGGTCATCCGGAAGCTTCGTGACGCCTGATACAGGGCCTGTGCACATGGCAGCACGGGTGTGCGGTGGGCCCGTAGGTAGGGCTTTGGCGGGGCAGAGCGCGGTAGCACCCGCAGTGGTGGCAGCGGCTCACGGTTGCACGTGGCAGGCCATCCGCCAGCGTGTGCGACCGAACAGCGTGTTGCGTGTGTGCATACCTGGCTCAAAGTTGCGGCCCTGTGCGGGGTCGTAGGGTTTGCGGGGCAGTTGCCACGCGTTCCGATCATAGACATGTTCGTCCCACCTTGTGGGGGTGCAGAGGCGCGCATCCAAAAGGGTGGGTCGGCAGAGGGCGTAGGCGCGAGTAGGTTGCGGCGTTAGTTGCGGCGTTAGAGGAATTGCGCCAGTGTGCAACAAGATTTGCGTGGCATGCGGGCCGATCGCAGCGGGGCGCGCCCTCGGGCAAATGTTGTGCAAAGACCGCTGCGAAGTGAGCTCCAAGGGTGCATTTGGCACCCCCTGTTGTACGACCGCAGCAACATATACAGCAGCCATACAGAAGATCTGACGACTGCATGTACATGCCACCTGGGCGGTGGTCACCGGGGGACCATCGCATGCGAATGTTGCAGCGGTTGACGGGCACGTGAACGGGCACGCGGGTGCAAGACTCTGCAGAGGGCAGCGAGAATCCCCCCACAGGAGTTTGCGGGCGGCCCCGGAACGAACCCTTTGGTGATGGTGGTTACGATATCTTTGCCGCTGTCAGCCAGCGTGGAAAGCGTGTGGGGTGGCATGAAGGTGATGTCAGCGTCGACCCACAAGACCGCCTCCTCCAAGTTCAGGGAGACTGACACTGCTAGGTTGCGCAGCCGCGCGAGTGCGGTGCGCCGGCGCCGCTGTGCTTGGGCTGCGGGTGGGGCGGGGTGGGCGTATGGCTCGGGAAGGTGGGGCGCTGCTTGCTTGCGAGTGTGTTTGATGCTGCTGATGGATTTGGCTGTGCTTACACCTTTCAGCGACAAATGTACGACAGTGCTGATTAGCAACCTGGATGCAACCAATGCTGTGAGCCCACGTTTCGCCGTCCCAACGTCTTCCAGCGTGGACGTGCGGTCAGGTGTGTGCGCCCCCTCGCCCTGATAGCTGGCGTGAGACAAACATGCATGCCAGAAATGCTCACGAGAGTGCCGCTTGTTTGGGTCGATGCCCGTGTCCACAGCTCTGTTGATGACAACCAGGCGCGCCATCCCCCTGTCCCGCACAAGCTGCTCTGCCGCGCGGACTGCCGTGGGGTAGAAAGTCTCGTTGGAGACCAGCAGGCCAAGGGAGGTGCGGCAGGCCGGATAGTCCTGCCGGTGGGAATGCAAGGCAGAGGGACGGGCAGCAATGATGTTTGATTGATTAGTTAATTTATTACCGCATCCGCAGCTGCAAGACTCATTGGGAGACGGGGGGTTCACCAGCTAGAAACAAGCCCGCGCACTTGCTCATCGCAGCTACAAAGGCAGCAGCCGCAGCACAGCTACCACGTTCATTTGCCTGACTCCTCCCGTCCCCGGCTCCGTGGCCTCAAGGTTTAGGCGCTGTGAAGCCAGCCGCTAGGTCCAGGGTTCCACTCTTGACGGAGACACGAGTTGGTTTTCAGCCAGCATTCAGGGGAATAAATCCCTCACGGTTGGGATCCCACACAAGGAATTCCACTCCTTGCCAACCGCGTCGTAGGTGCCCGGCTTAGTGCTCAAAGGCATGGTTAGCCTCTATGCCGCCTATGACATGAGAAAAGGGGATCAAGTGCTTAGGCGGTAGTAGGTGAGAACTGCATGGCCGTTGTAGGCATGGCCCCAAGGAGGGGCGAAACAGGCGTTAAGGCCATGGTATGGAAGTCATGCCCGGAAGGGCCGTTCAACCCGCAACCTAGCGTTACTGCGCCTACCGCGCAACACCGCTCTTCAAGTGGGCTCAATGCTCTAGCGGCTTGCCGACAGGCGGGGGCGTGGGGTGGGTGGGGAGTCTGTGCACCTGACAGCCGTAGGATCAGGCTGCGCGCACAGGAACCTGGCTGACCGTTGCGCACAGCTGGGGTTTGCGGGTCGGACGCGCCTGGTGCTGCTTTGCAGCGTTTGGCTATCGCCTGGTGATGGCCCTTGCGTGTGCAACCCAAGCACCATGCGTGCAAATGCCACACGGGGCATGTGCTTGCCCGTTGCTGCACGTGAATATGTGGATGTGTGTGTCCGACTGAGGCGCTGCAGTATTTTGTGCTGCTGCTGCCCGTGCATTCGCGCCGCGTCTGGGAGTTGACTGCGTCAGGGTGCCGCTCCTGTCTCTCATGGTGCTGCTCACCGCGTGAGTGCTTGCCCGAAGGTGCTTGTGGCTGGTGCAATCGTGGTCGGGGATGCAACCGCGGTCATGCTGCCGCATTCGTGAGCATCGTGGATGCTGCTGATCTGTACGGGTCAGCAGCTGTCCGTGATGTGCACGGGAAGGTGCCGATGCCCATTCGCACCGGGATTGCTCACTGCTTGGGTGCCTCGCTGCTTTAATTTCCCCCGTTTGGGGTACCGTGTCGATCGTGCTCCGACATGTCTGAGAGGGGTGCCTTCGCAGATGGCGTGCACACCTCACTTCCGCATGGCTTGCTTGGTGACAGGATCCGGCATACGTGCGACACACACGCGAACGAAAGTGCAGCAATCCAGGGGCGGGTTTGCCGGGTTCTGATTGGTGCCCGCCACCGCCATCACTTGGCCACCAACCAAATTTCATGTGATGACCGGAGCACAACATCGTCATTTTTAAATCTTTACATGCACTTATTGCGGAGTCACCCAGGGGTGGCAGCTACACGGGCCGCGATCCGCTGTGCGCGCCCACTGGTCTATTGTTCAGTTGTGTGTCATCATGCCCAGGTCGCACACGCGACCTCTGGCTGCTTGCACGTTGAAAGGCACTTTGAAGCGCTTCTGATGCGTCGATCACCTTATGTCACCCCCTGTCACTCGCCGGTCACAGCCCCCACCGCAGGCACGCGCACAAAACGCGCCGTATGTCGGGGCCGCCCGCTGCAGAAGGCCAAGTGCGCCGCCCCAACCCCTCTCGCGGGTGCGGCCCGCCGCGCCGGCCCCCCATGCGCGGGCGGGGGCGGCGGCCAAATCCCAACGCGATCCCAGCGAGATCCGGGCCGCCGCGGGTCAACTGGCGCGCGTACGTGTTTTAGGGGTGTGCATATGCATTCTCTCGCCGCGCAGAATCTGTGCTGAATCACAGGCCTTAAAGGGCTGAAACGACTATGCCCCGCGTCGCTGAGCCCTAAATGGTTACTGCGCCGCAACTACTAGAGCCGTGAATACCACTCGCCACGTGCTTGGTGGGGGGCCGGCGCGGCGGCCTCGGCCCCTGCAAGCCAGCCCCCTCTTCCTTTATTTACGCGGCCGTCACAGCCTGCGCACACACACGCACGCTCTCTCTCCCCCTCCCTCTCCCTCTCCCTCTCTCTCTCTCTCTCTGGCTCCCAGCTCTTTCGCTCCCTCCCTCTAGGATGCGTGCCACACCCGCGCTCGCGCCCCTTGGATGCCACCTGTACACCCTGAACCCCAATTACCCCCCCGCCCCCCAAACAAAAGTACCCAGGCCTGCTGATCCTGCGTGCCCATCCACAAACGGGGGCAACCAAAGGGGGGCAACCCTACGGCTGGGCCAGTCACGGATGCACGCACCTGCTTCGCAAGCATATCCATGAACCCTGAGATGCCTCTGGGACCTTGGTCGCTCTCTCGTGGGCCCCTGGTAAGCCCGAAGCTGTTATTGTCCAACGCCACTGTCAGTATTAGTACGCTCGGACGTGGTTTGTCCTCCGGGGATGCGCATGCAGGCGGCGGCCGGCCCGCCTCCCAGCACCGCACCAGCCGGTGTACTGTCATGCCTTTGGACACGTCGTCACTAGAGCACCAATGTTTACTGCCGGCTCCTTGCCCATGCGTAGTCCACGCCACCACGCCCTTGCCGCCCGCTGACGACTGCACTATGTATCGCGCTGAGCCAGCCGGGCCAGTGCTCTGCAAGCCTGCAGGCACAAGGTAGCGGGAGGATGCCTTGCAGAGTTTGTGAGGGCCATCTGGGCAATTACTAGGATGGATCTGGGTAGGATTCAAGCTGAATTAGAGCATGTCTGCGCAAGGGAGGTCAACAGTAAATGCTGCAAGCAGCCAGCAGGGGTTGAGGAGTGTGTGCTGGGACACGCGTGGTTGCTAGGCAAAGTTCTACCTCCCAATATAACTTACCAGTTTGTCGGTCAATCACGAGCCATAGCACAAGCAAGAAGGTGAGACCATGCAAGCAGACGCTGGCCGCTGACGGTAGCACACCCGCGCGCCAGGGGCCCCATTTGTTTGCCAGCGTCAGGCGCCCATCGTAAACGTGTTGCGCTGCTGGCAAACACCGCTTCATGAGATGCAGGCTTTCACTCCGAATCGGACGTCAAAATTGAAATGACGATCTGCGCAGACACAGCCATACGACGAGACGCACCCTCATTTATTAACATGAATAGGTTCGCGAATGACGTTTCCAGACGCGAGAGGCTTAGACGTGCCGTAGAGGAGGTGAGTAGCAGTCGCGAGGCACCCCATACCCAGCCGCGCGGCACCCACGTTTCGGACCACAGCAAACACTCATGCCACTTTCTGCTATGTATTGACGTTTCTGACGCCTGTAACACTAGATACCTTCATGAACCATAGAGATGGCCAGTTGAGGGTGTCAAGTAGTGTCAAGCTCGCTTCGTCGCATCAGGCGACATCAGTGGTGCAGTGGCTACGGGGCGTACCAGCACCAGTGCACCACTGGTGCTGGTACGCCCCGTAGCCACCTGCTGCCCCGTTGCAATGCGAATGTATATAAAATCTGTTTGTTACTTGACTATGCTGAAGTATTTTTTTGCATAGTTGATATGAATAAATGCTAGGCCGCGCCAACGGCTGGTGGTGATGCATGCAGGCTGGCTGCGAACAAACTGGGGCACCCCACAGACCCTTCTAGGAGTCCCCGCGTCGGTACACACCTGTGAAAGCACGGGAAGAAGTCGAAGCAGCCGCGCAGTTATAGACGAAATTCCGTCGTAGCATGCATGCATTGACGAGGGTTCGATTACCGTGGGGCGCCCAGCGTGGTCACCACCGTAGACACCGCACACGGCAGATGTGGCAAGCAGCAGTGTGCTCAAAGCGAGTGGGGTATTCCGCCCATACCCGTTCCACCGGTACCCCTCGATATACTGAATCACCTGCGCGGTAGGCGGCAGGCCGA